GGTGTAAAGAAGAAAGGGGGGTGAAGAAGGGCTTGGAAAATAGCATCCATTTATTTTTCTTTTGTTTGGAAAGTCTGTGGCTAGTGGTGTTTAAGTCCCACTACCAGTTCAGTTGATGAGGGATCATGTGGTGTTGGGGATAGATCTTGGGCCTGCTGTTTGCAAAGCATGCATTCTAATCCACCGAACTATCTCTCCTGCCCCCATTTTTATTTTTATACGATAAATAAAAATATAATTATAGGGTAAAATTTAAACTTTTCATATCAACTGCTAGTTATTTCTGCATAATTGGATAATGAGTGCTTTTTTAATATCCCAGGAGGTTCTATCCTAAAAGTTTTTTAACCATAAACAACACTTCTGTAAGAATATTTGTTTTTGTTTGTTTGGCTTTTTCTTTGATTGTTTTGTTCTGGGGGGATGATTAGTTTTGGGCACATACCCAGTGGTGCTCAGGGATTACTCCTGGCTCTGTGCTCAGGAATGACTCCCGGCAGAGTTTGAGGGACTGTATGTGGGGCTGGGGGATGGCTGCATCTAAGACAAACACCTTCCTCACTGTACTCTTTCTCCAGGCTGCAGGAAATTTAGTTTTGAAGTGTTAAGAGGGATTATATAATTAATTTTCAAACATATAAATATTTTGGTTTTGGTTTTTTATATTAAAGGTTTTTAGCCTTCTTTCACATTAGATCAAAATTATGAAGTCTCTTTACAATATGTTGAGTGTGTGCAACTTAGAAAATTGAAGATATCTATGTTTTCAAAGACACCCATGTAAACATGAACAAAAGTTTTAATGACATCGCCAGCATCAATTTCTGGAAGCTAAGCTGGTTACCTGGGAAACCTGCAGCCAAGCATGGACTTGACACAGCAACAAAATCCAACTTACTGGAGTTGGATGGGAACACCCTTCAAACCATCACTGACTGACATCTTCCTAGGGTGATTTCTTCAACTGCCCTAGATGCCTACCTTCCTTCCCATTCATCCATTCCCAGTGCCTACTGAGAACAGAAGCCTACAATGACAGAGAGAAGTTGGGATCTAAGAGCAGAGACTCTTTCAAATGCAGGAGCTTTAACCCAGTTAAATGCAGGCTATTTGCGATTGGAGCGATAGTACAGTGGGTAGGGCATTTGCCTTGCACACAGCCAATCCAGGTTCAATTCCCAGCATCTCATATGGTCCACAGAGCACTGCCAGGAGTAATTCCTGAGTGCAAAGCCAGGAGTAACCCCTGTGCATCGCTGGGTGTGACCCAAAAAGCAAAAAATAAATACATAAAATTTTTAAAAATAAATAAATGCAGGCTATTTAATCTGAGGATCACTTGACACTACATATCTGGGCTCAGGAAAGTAACATCTGTTTATATCATACTTGATTTGCCAAATATAAGTATCAAAAAATTACTACTTGGGATGCCACTGAACTGGCTGACTAAATCAATGCTCCTGCAAGTGTAACTCCCTAATCAAAGCCAAAGGTTCACAAACTCAATCCACATCTCGTAAAATTAGATTGTACTTGACGGGCAGACTGTGCTAACTTTTCTCCTTCAATGGAGGATCAGTTAACACCGCTGCAATATTTATCTAATCCCTAGAAAAAGGGACTGAAAATTGTATTGTTTACACATCCAATAAACACTTTTCACAGAGCATGGCTCAGAGGGTTAGTGATGAGGGTGCTCAGAGACACCAATAAATCTCAGATCTTTATATTTCGGCCACATCATGCTCATAGTTTCATCTTATTTTGGAGTCGTCTTCTTCCATTTCACTCAATAACAATACACTAATAATTAAAGAGTTCTATATTGTCTTTCTCTTTAATTTGTATTGAAGTTTAGGCTATAGAATGCATTCCCACAAGCCGTGTAAACGCTCATTAGGCATTTCTCAGTGATGTCTCACTCCATATTAAAACAGCTAATAATTCCCTGCCTGCTCAGATTTAACCAAAGCCCCATAAACTCCTTGTATTTATTCTCCCCCCACGCCCTGCTACCCCACTGCCATAAGTGGCCATCTCAAAGAAAAGCAAAAGGCATGGTTGAAACTTCCAAGCTGTCTGGTGCTGCTGAGATGAAACTGAGCTCAAACAGCCAAGCCCCAGGATAGAGGGAAAACAAAGACATTCTTCACCACAGAGAAGCCCTGAGCAACGGGGTGGGCTGTGGCGCTAATTACCTCCCATCTCGGACCATAACAGACGGCCTGAACCTGACTTAATGGACACGGTCCAGTTATCCCATGAGGACAATTTGTTTTCACATGCTTTTACAGATTAGCCACACACCAGCAACATGCTGCTATTGCTATTTTCCCATGTGCTGTCTCAGCAACATATTAAAAAAAAACAGCCAAATTTGATAGGGAAAAAAAAATCTCATTTCAAGAGATGATCTCCATTCGGCAACAATGGCAGAACCAGAGGCATCGACTTGTACACGGTGTATACAATGCAAGTGATGATGGTTCTACAACAGCCCGTCTTACTTCCGAATGATGGAATGTTTCCATTTCTGCATTTTCCCTCTATAGAATAGCACAGGTCGATGTACTGTGTACCTTGGGACCATAGTAAATAAGCACAGGTTTTAAATCCCAATGAGACATTTCCTAATTTTTCAACTTAAAAAAAAAAGTGAGGGGCTGGGCATATTAATACATGCCTAGCACGCAAGCACAAGACCTGGATTACATTTCCCCCCTCTCAAAAACACAAAACAAAACAAAACATGAAAGATACCTTTCCACTTAAACCAAGATGGTCAATTAGTAATCGATATTAATTTCCCAGATGTTCCCCAAACTTGTCTTCACACCCCAGCATTTGTTTATATGTGCACCCAGGTTCCATTACACGTGGCAGTTACTCTACTAGTCTCCCATGGAAGCACCAAGTCCACAGGATCAGTTCATAGACAATACAGAAAGGCAGTTGGAAATGATCATTCTGGACAAGAACTGAGTGCTGAAAATAGGTAAAGGGATATATATGATAGATAACCTTTCAATACCTGTATTACAAATCATAATGTCCAGAAGGAAAGAGAAAGAAAGAGGAGAAAGAAGTGTGTGTCTTAGTGGCAGGCCAGTGGGAGGGAAACTGGGGACACTGGTGGTGGGTAATGGGCACTGATGAAGGGACAGGTGTTGGAACATCGGATGACTAAAACCAATGATAAACAACTTTGTAACTATGTACCTCATGATGATTCAATTAAAAAAAATATACACATACACACACAGAGAGAGAGAGAGAGAGAGAGACTTCATTCCCTGCCCACTATCATTAGCACCTTTCCTGACTACTCAAAATTTAAAATCTTGCAGATTAGAGCTCGGATGTAGCTCCATTCGTAGAACACTTGCCTAACCCATGCAAGGCCTTGAATTTAATCTCTATCTAGCACCACAAGGTGCCTGAGCACGACCAGGAGTAGCCCTGGTAGCCCTAATGCCCTAAATGGCGTAAGCATCAAGCCCAAACCTCAGGGTATTTCTGCAAGTGGTTGGGGTGGAATGGGGGTGCAGCCACTAGTTAGTATGACGCTATTAAATAAATCAAATTTTTCTAAATTAAGTGTATTTTTATGCTCCTGAAATCTCCAGAATACTAGTGACGATGCTCAGACTTTTGTTATTTTCCAATTGCGTGGCCCAGTTGGAACTGGGGAGGTATTTAAAACAAATTATTCCTCTAGGATTTGTTGTCTATAGCTCAGCATTTTGAAGATGATATGTTACTGTGTCAATAATTGCTCTTGACATGTGAAGTTTACCACTGGAACCTCTGAGTAGGAAATGGGTCTTGAATGTAATGGCACATAATTATAGTTCCCGTTAAAATCCAAAAGGAAAATATTGCGGGAAAGGGATCCAGGGAAATGGCTCCGAGCCAGCAACTTGCACTGATTAGCACTGAATACTTGCCATAAACCAGCCAGTCAGATATCTACATACAGACCAGCCACCCCTCTCTCCTCCCCTACTGCTGGTATATTAAGCTATACAAGACTTAGTAGTTGGAAAATTTGAAATAATGGTGGTGGGAATGGTGTTGGAATATTGAATGTAATAAGTTACTGTGAACAACTTTATAAAAATAAAATTAAATTTAAAAAAAACTATACAATACCTGTTCTGCCTTGCTCCTTATAAATACACTAAGCATCATTGTAAGTCCCTATATTCAACTGTCCTTTGAATATAATAGCACCGGGAAAGAGAGTAAGCATGAAATAGGATTACTATTTTTAGTAGGGGTAAGTTATTCAATTTCTTTCATGCTTTAATTTCCCATCCTGTAAAACAGGAACAAAAACACCTGCTGTAGAGATTAAACTTTGAGTAATAAATTAAAATGCTATTGTAAAGATTAAGCGTAAATATACAACCAATATAATGATTGGACCATTGCAAACACTCAATATATAGTATCTCTCAGTAAAACTGTTATCAGCAAGTCCAATAAAAGAGTCTAATTAGAATGATCTTTCTCGTGAACAAAGGATGGTTGGAAAGGTAGCACAATGGCCTAGAATTCTTGAAGGGACAACCAAAAGGAAGGGAATCAAAAGGACAGGGTTGGGAAACAAAGAAAAGCCTAAGAGGAAAATCAAAATACAAAGAGCTGTGTAAAGGAAGGGTAGGTAAAGTCTGGTAAGAGGAGAAGGAGTCACAAAAACAGGAAAGATAGGCAGTAGAGTAAGAGAAGAAGGTGAAGGTGAAGCGTGGGAAAGGAGGACACGCCAGACAAAAGAGGAACTACTGGAGAAAAAAAGAAAAAAAAAGACAAAGAAGAAGACAGTCATTTCCATCACCAAAGTAGAATCTCTCTATTGGTAGTGCTAATAGACAGGAAATTAGATCACACAGCCCAGCACAAACTAGTCAATCAGAGCTGGCATTCCATTAGCATGTTCCTCTGCCCAGATGGCTACTGTGTCTGTCTTATTTTGCTCTAAGAAGGACTTGTTCTACCTGACCCTGCAGGTGGATATTGTCACACAGAGTGGACCCTTGAGGGCCCAGAACAAGAGGCTGCCTTATCTGGGGCTGTGTCCCTTAACGCATTTCCCTCTCAAAATCTTCCAACATTCTTCACCCTACTTGAAAGAGCAGAGCCTTGTTGGCCTCTTAACTGCAGGAACAAACTCTGTCTTGATCAAACAAAAGGGAAACTTAAGTTTGTTTTATTTCAGAAAAACACTCACTGTTTTAAAAATATTTTTATTTTGGAGCTGTTTCAAATTTACACATAAACTGCCAGAAAAGTACAAAGAAATTTCATATTCCATTCACCCAAATAACCCTTTTGAAGTTCTGCCATCTATCACAATGACCTCCTTCACACTGAAGGATCCAATTCTGAACGCTGCGTTTGCCATGTCACTCAGGCCCCTTTAGTAAAAATAATAATGACAATGATGGTGTGATAGTAATAATTTCTTGGACCAGAGAGATGGCTCAATAGGCAAAGTACATACTTCTCATGCTGAAGGTCCAAATTCAATCCCTGGCATCTCATCGTTCCCCTGAGCCCTGCTAAAAGTAACCCCTTCCCTAAACCAAAATCATCATCATCACCATCTATTTTAAAATAATTTTAAGGTCAAAGAAAGCTGCAGGAATAGTGCAAATAACTCTCCTTTCACATTCACCTAAAAACTCCCAAATGTTAAGTCTTCTGTATTTTTCTAAAACATTCCACAGTGAATTGTGGGCATGAGGCAAGTTCACTTCTATATACTCCCAGTATGTATTTTTCAAAATCAAAACACTCTTTTATATAGTAACCATAAATCTTCTTCATAAATCTAAAGTAGTTCCTGAGTCTTACTCTTCTGTCTCTCAAGACTGAATGGTTTTTTAAATTCAACGCTTATTTTTCTTGTTCTATACAAATTTTATAATGTTTTATGGCCTTGAAAAAATGCTATTGGGGTTAGATAGTACAGTGGGAAGGTACTTGCCTTGCATGTGGCTGACCTGGATTTGATCCCCAGCTCCTTTATATGATCCCCAAATCCCAGTAGAAGTGACCCCTGAGCACAGGAGCAAGCCCTGAGCACAGCAGGGTCTGGCCCCCAATGAAACAAAGTGAAAAGAAGTCCATTGCAATACATAATTAAAATGTTTAAAAGAAGCCCCCAAGGGCTGGAGTGATGGCAGGTAGAGTGCTTGCCTTGCATGAAACAGATCTGGGTTTGATTCCCAGCATCCCATATGGTCCCCTGACTACTGCCAAGGAGTATATTCTTGAATGCAGAGCCAGGAGTAACCACTGAGCACTACTGGAGCACTGATTTCCAAAAAAAAAAAAAAAATTAATTAAAATAAAATAAAAGAAGCCACCCCAAAATGGAAATGCCACTAGTATTTTGATAAGGACTGCACTGAATCTATATAATGCTTATGTCAGAGGGCTATTTTAACAATATCAATTCTTCCAATGCATGTCCTCTTCTATTTCTTTTAACAATGGCATAGGTCCAATGTACTCCCTGAGTAGCCAAGCAATCCTGGAAGCAAGAAAATGGGAGATAATATGTTCCCAGACTTTAAACTATACCATAACATCAAACAGGGTGGTATTGGATTAATAGAAGATTCTCAGGAGAATGACACATAACTGAGAACCCAGAAGTAAACCCTCATATACAGAGGCTGTTAATTTCTAATGAAGGAGTCAAAAGAGCATGAGATCGGGAGAAAAAAGAAAAACTCCTCAACAAATAGTTTTGGGGCAAATGACCAGTCACATGCAAAAGAATGAAACTGGATCTCTATCTCATTTCACGCGCAAAAGTTAAAATTAATCAAAGACTTGGATGTTAAAGTTTAGTCCATAAAATACATCAAAGAAAATATAAACAAAACACCCCATGAGGCCTGGAGAGATAGCTTAACAGGATGGTACACACTTTGCAGGAAGGAGACCCAGGTTTGATTCCAAGCACAACATGGTCCCTGAGCATGGGTCGGAATGATGCCCCCTCACCAAGCACAGAGTCAACAACAACCCCAGCACCACCAGGTGTGCTTCCACAACCCTTCTCCCCCACACACATACACAGATAAATAATCACTATGAGTGATATCGACTTCAGTAGTGTCCTCAGTGACTTGAGTCCAGTTTAAATTAAGATGCGGGCTTGAGATGTCCACAATGCCAGATCCAGTTCAAGCACCTAATCATCAGGCTACAGTCAGGCATATGACTAGGAGTGAACCCAAGGTGAGGCGCCAGCACTGCTAGGCACCCCCTCCCCACATACACACACCTCAAAAAAAAGAAAGACTATTGGGGCTAGAGTGATAGCACAGTGGGTAGGACGTTTGCCTTGCACGTGGCCCGACCCAGGTTCAATTCCCAGCATCCCATATGGTCCCCCGAGCACGGACAGAAGTAATTCCTGAGTGCATGAACCAGGAGTAAACCCTGTGCATCGCTGGGTGTGACCCAAAAAGAACCACCCCCCAAAAAAAAGAATATTCCCTTTTCCATTCCCATTTATAACAATATATCAATATAAATTCACTGAAACTTATTTCATTTAATGATGCATAATATATTACTATCATTATTTCTGTTCATGCTCCAATTTTCCCATATTTGATGAGTGAGAGCCCTGTGCACTTGCTTTTTTGGAAAGCAAATTTAGCAAATACAATTTCATGCACCAAGAAATATTCTCAAAGCCAAAACTCTCTGCTTTTTAAACATGCTTTGGAAGCTGGAAGACAACACACAGAAGTCACGATGAATGTCAGCCTTTTATTTTTCATTCCCAAGGTCTACCTATATTTCATCTTTAATTTTTGGGGAAGCTCTTCTTTCAATCAAGCATTAGGTACTCATATTATTACTCTTTACAAAAAGATGGATGGCCTAGAAAATAATCTTCAGCACTTCAAACTTCTCTGTTGGCTCAGGACATTCCTGAAATGATCTCATAAGGGCAGAAGTAACAACATCTCAACAGACAAGAGATATATGTACATTACTTGAGATCCTGTCCAGAGGTGGAGGACATGCCATCATTGGTCTTTCACCTGTCCCAGAGCCAAGTATCCATTCATCCCCTGACAACATCACCTTTATCCCTGGTCTTATCACCATCCCCATCTTCCAAACAACAAACTTTAAAGTAATCTTGTATCTCTCTCACTCTTTCTAACCAATAAATTCCACTAGTGATAGAATCCAGACTCTGTTTAGTTTCCGACCGTTTCCATCCTGGCCTTCCCCCTCTTTATCCTAAACAACATAAACAAAGCACACCCTGAGATTACTAAGTCAATGATGGTTGGAGGGAGCACTCGGATGGGAAATGTGTGCTGAGAGTAGATAAAGGACTAAACATGATGGCCTGTTTAGTATCTGTATTGCAAACCATAATGCCCCAAAGTAGAGAGAGGGGGGAGGGGGGAATTGTCTTCCTTAGAGGCAGGGGTAGGGATGGGAAGGGGGAAGGGGACATTGGTGGTGGTAAATGTACACTGGTGGAGGGATGGGTATTTGATCACTGTATGACTGAAATTCAAACATGAAAAGCTTTGTAACTCAAAAGCTTTGAATCACTCATTGTGATTCAATTAAACACACACACACACACACACACACACACACACACACACACACACCCTGAATAATGCTGGGTGTCAGGATTAGAGAGACAGTACAGCAGGTAAGTCACTTCCCTTTCAAGTGACCGACCTAGGTTCGGCACCTGGCACCCCATATGGCCCCCTGTACACTGCCAGGAATAATTCCTGAGTGCAAAGCCAGGAGCAAGCCCTAAACACAGCAGAGTGTGACCCAAAACATACAAACAAACAAAAAAAAAGCTGGGTCCCAAGCTGGGCGCTCGGGGCACTTTCCAGGTAGCACCAAACCAGGTCTCCCTCACTTTCTAGACTGAAATCCCACTGAATGCTGGGGCTGTAAAAGGCTTACTTGTTTGTCTATTTAAATATGACCAGAGGGTCTCAAACTTCAGGGTGGATTCTATCTACCTCCTCTTGTATTTCCACTGCCTACCTGTGTGCCCAGTGAAGGTTAACCAGGAAACAGGCACCAGGGAAAGGAGTCTGAGGAGAGCTCAGTGGCAGAGTTTTTGCCTTGCAAGCATAAAACTGGTGATGCCAAGAGTTCGATTCCTGGTATCACCACACACACGCAAATGCATTTTCGGTGGCTAGGATACCTAAGTCTGTGATCTTGAAGACATCTAACTGATGGAGAAGAAAAGGAAAGTGGTGAGCAAGAAAATACTATTTTTTAAAGGGCACCGGAGGAAAATACAGTTATCTACATAATAAAAGGACAACACATAACAATGTCCATTTGGGGGCCAAAGTGATAGTACAATTTGTAAGGTGATTGCCCTGTATATGATTGGCATGGGTTCAATCCCTGGCACCTCATATGATTCACCTGAGCCTCGCCAGGAGTGATACCTGCATAGGGCCATGAGCATCACCAGGTATGGTCCAAAAAATACGGGCAAGGAGAGTGTCTATTTTTCTGGGATTTCATTACTGACACTTGAAAAGTGTTACCTTTTATTTAAAAGTAATCTGTTTTAGATAGCAGAGTAATGAGGTTATTTGGTATAATTCCAAAGAAGAGGTAAAATTTTTTTAAAAAATCAATTAAAAAAAAGACCTCTCAGTATCTGTATTGCAAACCATAATGCCCCAAAGTAGAAGGGGGTGATCTTTAAAATATTCTGTTACTGTTCTCTACCCTGGAAGTGTCAAGCTTCTTTTTCAAAGGTTAATTTTACTTTGAAACTGTTGTTTTGTATCAGAGGTTTATTTGATAAAATTTATGTGTGAATCTGGCTACACATTACAGTCTCCAGTTATCCCATCAAATGTGGATCCAGGAATTGCTGTGAAGGTATTCTGTCAATGTGAACTTAAAGGGCACTTGCAGTAGATCATCAAGGAAGGTCTGCTGCGATGTGGAAAGGCTTAGATAGTGGGGCTAGCTACAGAATTCTGCCACAAACAACAGCTTTGCCTTCTACCTGAGTCTGAGCCCTGCCTTTCTTGCTAGCTCCTGCTCTACTCATTCCATACCTGCTAGTTGGCCCCTCAATCACATAACCTGATTCTTGCATAACTCTTTTACTGCTTCTGTTTCTC